TTTATTAATATCAAATTACTTGTTAAAGAAATAGTTATAAAAAATCAAAAAAAAAATTTATTTAGAAAAAAGCATTAAACATAATAATAAAAGTTTATATAAATTTAATAAAAATTTCACCATAGATAAAATTTATTATAAAAAACAAGTTTATTTAATATATAAAAATTGTTTTTATTATGTGAGAAATGCCTCACTTAACAGTAAAAAATTGTTTTTATTAATAAAATAAAAAATTTAATATATGACAACTATTTTAAATTAATTATAATAATTTTAAGTGATCTTTCATTTATTGGAAAGAACTGTATATATAAAATTTAAAACAATATGTAAGAAAAATTTATCATTTATCTATTTTTTTAATAGTAAAAATAACAAGTTTTTTATGATTGTGTAATTAGAAAGGCTATTTAAGTTTTATTAAAAAACCAATATTTGAAAATAATTTTAATCACTTGACGTTTGAGAGTTTATAGAATTTTGAAATCATAGTTAATATTTAAAGTTATAATTATATATTTTTCAATATGTTTAATTTCCTGTAAAAATAAAATAGTACTTGGGATCAATTTATAAATGTGCTACACTCGTTAACCTCATCAAATCTATAACAATATTTTTTATTTATCGAATACTGCCCAGAGACCTTTATTTGTTCCCAACTTATTTTTTTTATTTCTGCGACACCATCACAATTGGTAACGACCATCACTCAACCTACCTTTCGCCCATAGGCAAGGCACAAACTTTAATAACCTTAATCGGCATATATTCCACAAATATTTCCAAAGAGGTCGAGGAAAAAAATAAAATAGCTAATGCATGATCACAATAACCTTCTCAAAACAATTAATACAAACCGTGGCGATTATCTTTGGTATTTTGAATAAAAAATGATAATTAGCATTGCCTGTTTTTCTAAAATCACGGCCAAGTATCGTCCGACAATATTTATTTTTCTTAACGCCCTCGTCCTCGCCCGCGAGTACCGCGACCACGACCACGACCGCGACCACGACCGACTCCCACAGCTGTAGGGGTGAAAAATAAACGATTAATTAATAACGACAATAATGCATTATTCCATTCCCTATTCTAACGAGATGTAAAGAAAGGGATCGATTCTGCGACATACTTTCTTTCTTTTTTGCTTTGGCCTTTGGTGTATCGTCTACCAAAAGGGTATCCAATGGGAGCGAATCCGGTAAAATGTAATATCTGATGTTATTCCCTCTGATGCTCAAAGAGTCCAAGTTGACGGGATCCTTGTTTTTCACCGTCATTTTAACGGTTTTAAGGTGAGTATTCATACTCATGTCAACCCCTTTGTATTTGACGATGATATAAGTAAAGTGCTGAATAGATTTTTTGTTTTCGAAGAAACATCTCTATTACCGGTAATCGTTCCGTGAACTATGGTCCCATTTTTGAGTTCTATCGTAACCGTTTCATTGTTCAACTTCATTAAAAATCTACGAAAATACATATCCGTCATTCGATCCCTTATTGTTAGTTACACTTGTTCAAGAGTCCGCTCCGAAGCAAACGCGAACCATGATTGAAAACCACGAAACGGGGTTCGTGATGTCTCTCTTCACAAACCTTACGAGTTTCATGGTGACCGACTTTAACACGTGCGTAGACTTTGAGTCAACTGATTTAGCAAAATTGTTTTTTTTTACTTGAAACGAACAAGAAACGCTACGTGCACATTTATGGGACCATACATTGTGTTACCAAAGATAATTTTATGAGCCAATCACGAAAATGCTTCGTGTGAAGCGTATAAAAACTTTTTTTAGAGTCATCATGATCGGTCTATGACGATTGTTTTATTTACATGATTGTTTTTTTTGGCAGCAATGTTTTCCTTTTTATGAATGAAGTAACGTGTAAATAGCGAATGTGAAGGTATGGAGAAGTAATTTAAGATAATGAACCGAAGAAATATGATATGTATGCGTATATATGATGATAAAAATAAATAAACCGTAACGTGTGTAAATCACCAAGATCTTGAAAAGAGTAGAACACAACCACAGATATGAGAGTCTCGCCCTTCGACCGTAAAATGTGTCCAATATGAATAATGTTATTTGAGGATTAACGCTTAAGATAAGATGAAGTAACTAACTGTCACCAAGTTGGCGATCCCCAATTTATGCCAACAGAATCCTCCGAAAGAATGAGACACCTACGATTCGGTTCGTAGAAAGGTCGAGCAATATATATATATATATGTATATGTCACCTTATTTAATAGGAGTTGTACGACTCACTACAATTCGCGGTCTTTCGAACTTTTCTGGGTTTCTTTGCAAAGCTCCTGGAGTTCTTGTTGTAACTCTCTTGGTTAGGTATGGTGTTTAAATATACCCCGTTTACATAATTTTGCTTGTAGAAATCTGGATCTCTTTGCTCAAAGTCTTTGGCCAATGTGGATCGACGCCTAGTGTACTTGTTAATCTTCCACATTTCATATTGAGACTTAATCTTCCCAAGGAATGGCATCTTGGAAAAAGCTTGTTCAAAAGATATTCAATGAACAAAGCGTCCGTGTATTTTTGTTTAGCACTGCACGCCGCTGAGAACGAGTAAAACGAGTGTAAAAAAAAAGCTTGGAAGGTTTAATATGCTATGAAATTAGAAAATGAAGACACCGTCTTAAGTGTTCTTTGGGTGAACAGATTATGTAAAGATTTGGTAAGTTGGTGCTTGGGATATAACCGCAGTGTCGAAAGGCCGCGAGAAACGCCGTTGGAAAAGAAAAAGGAAAGTAGTAGCTTAAAGGATGGGTTGTGTTGAGACTCATCCTCAGGCTGTGAATCCAAAATTTATTAACAAAGGCTACACATGCACACGATTCCTGTTTTGTTGTGATACATTAGCGTACTACCATTTTCTCGTTAATTGGAATCAATTCATTATGCATGCAGGCAGACTCTAACCAAGTAAGAAAGCAGATCATTTAATTTAAAATAAATTCGTAGGACAATACATTGTTTTCTATTTTAGTATGTTTTATTAGTGCAAACATTGTTCATGATTAGCGGGTGTGTTAGCGTACAAGCTTTATTTAATTTCGATACCAAACTTCAGGGGAAATCATATCTTTTATGCTTCAGTTAATCTCTAAACAGAATAAAATTCCCGAAACAATTTAAATAACGTAAGAAATAGTGTTCCGACTCACTCTGACACAGGTCTATTTGTTCATTAACTGCCTTTGTTCAATTTTGTTAGCACCACCTCCTGTTGACATTGACTCGTGCATTTTCCTTTGTGCCTATGCGTTGCCAGGGATATCGACGGGATCAGTTTGATATGAATCGGTTGATCGCATAACATTGTCTGAGATCATACCTGTGCCGTTGTGTAATGGAAGATAGCCTCGTTCACCCAAGTTTGTTTGTAAAATTCTGACCTTCGTTGTTCTTCGAGGTTAACTTTACTCTCGCCCAAAATAATCTTCATCAAATTAATTACAATTATAATTATAATTCAATCATCGAATTACCCATATCCGCATCTATAATGAATAACAATAATAATAATAATAGTAATACCTCCAAATCACGACTTTGACTGGCAATCCACTTATTGATAAATTCAACGGGCGAAGATGCAAAATTTAACAAAAAGTCACGCTTGGTCTTTGAATTATTAATGCTTTGGACGCATTGCACAATCTGTAATGAGATTTCCGTATAATATTAACGTCTAGGAAACTTTCTTCAAATCTGTTCACCACAAAAATAATTGTAGCAAACCTTATCATCTAGATTCTGTATCTCCTTTTGATTGGTCATATTGGTGGTGGCAATGGCCGCAAGCCTCGCCTTATTGGGATCCTCAACTTCAACCTCGATGTCGTATGCATATCGTGATTGATGGTATTCTTTGTCAACTCTTTGAGACACACATGTAATGTTAAATGCAAGGAATTATTGAGCTTAACGAATGGTGAAAAAACTTTGAGCTTGAAATCATTTAACATAACCGACCGAATAGTGTAATCTATGGATATGGGATCAATGGGTAACAGGTGTTTGTTAATAAGTTCGGGAATCTGAGGGAAGGCCATTCGCGGAACTTTAAAAACCTTGAGGAAAGGGGATGAGGTAATTAGTCAATTGTCATATTTCATTCTCGAAATTGTCGCAATAAATGTGGATAACTAACTTCGGCTAAACGAGCGTCGTTGTTAATGATTCTTTTGTCTTCTGCGTCTTGAAGGTTATTATGCTGATGTGACAAAGGAAAGAGTCAAATTATCACTTCAAGGTATTGTGAGCATGTCAGGGTAATTAAAATAAGATTAATCTTATTCTTTTCATGCAAACCTTCACATACTGCCACAATGTCATAATTATTCCCGATTTCGTTTCTTCTTTTAAATCTAAAATTTCCGATAATTCGGGTGATAACTTATATCTCGCGGGTTGCTGGTCGATATTCAAATAGATCTTTGCCTTGAGGTTGACGTCTCCTTTACGTTTAATCTCAAATCCATCAACTTCTTCAGAATCCGGAATTTTGTTCCACTATTAAATAAATCTTGATGTGCACCTTTTTTTTCTTCATCTTTGAAAAAGAATCACCGCCAGAAAAATTGAGTAATACCTACTTCTATCAGATTTCCTTCAGGATACAATTCCGGATCTCTATCCAACTCCACAATGATAGCTTTGAAGAAACGAGAAAATTTATGATTAGGCCTGGTGTTCTTTGGCGCATTTGGTGCCTTAAATTTAGTTGATTTCAATGAGCTTTGCGAGCGAAAATTATCAAAGACACAGTCGTGTTTACACGTTGCACATTATGCCTACATCGAGTAATCTCCCTTCTATTCTGAGAGTCCAAGCCGGAATATTACTTCCATCACCGTACTCAAGTTCGTTATCTCCTTCACCCTGAACAGGTTGCTGATTGGATGAAGTATTTGATACAAACACACGAAGGGTACGCTTGACCTATTATATACAAATTGTTATTATTCCACGACATCAATAACGAGAATGCTTGATGGGGACCTACCTTCATAGGTTTCGAGTATGATTCGGTAATTTCCATTTTCTTTCTTATAATCGTGGCGTCTAATCTTCTCTCAAATTCCTGAAGTTCAGTGTATAATCGTGATTCTGGTACGAGCGTATCAAGCTGTTTTAAATAAATTTCTTAAGTACTTTGCGCACCGATTCAGTGAAGCATAACGAATCTCGAGAAAGTAAAACCTTTTCGGGCATGTTTCTGTCAAGTGCCCTCTTTTTTCTATGAAATGATCGGTGTCACGATTAGTACTTGAACAAAAAATTTCGGGTAGAGGATGTGATGATGGTAAACCTACTTGACTTGCTGAGCGTTAATTGTAGCTGCATCGGGATTTGTACGTTTTCTGACAATAGTTGGCTGATTGGGCATCATCATTGAGGTGTTAGCCATCTGCATTTGACGAGATTGCGTAGGATTAGCCATTTTTGGTTGCAGCGGTTGAAGGTTTTGTTGGACGAACTAATATATATGACAAGAAGTTATGTAAAAGGGGATCGATAAATTCTAACGTTGAAGAAACGGTTTATGTGGCTAAACATAATTTTCGGTGCGTTGTTTCCGAACACTTGAATTCCCCGACGCCTAAATATGTTTATACAGATATGCGGGTCGGTATAGTTACACCAATGTTTGAGTGCAATATGCCAAAGTATCCAACGGGTGCGACCAGACAGCTTTACGAAACCAAGGTTATATGCGAAAACTTTGGCGCGTTGTGCGGGTTGACGCGAAGCGATAAATTCTTATGACACTACGAACCTGCTGTTGCCCGACGGGATATTGCATAGGCTGGTATGGATATCGTGGTGGCATTCCTGGTGCGAAAGGACTCGGGCTATATTGTTCCGGATATCCGGGAACGTTCATCGGGATTATTCGTCTCTGCTGGTTCATTGGTAAATCAAAGGACAAAAGTTTCAAGAAGGGTCAAGAAAAACCATCTGAGAAAAGTTGCTGTATTTATGCTTATCGGACATTGTGACACGTTGTGACACTCCTCGTGATACGCAAACAATATTACTGCATTTTCATTGGTCGCTCATGTGACCACACACGTGACATATAATAAAACTTTAATAACTTATATAAATAAATACAAGTTTTTTAAGAAACAAAATTCCCTAGATTTATAACTTTATCATCTATCCGTCAACTGGTTCAAATCACACTTCCACGCAAGAAATCGTACCCTAATCTATTTCCATGTTCATATTCTGATCCTTCCTTTCCCAAACCTAATAGAAAATTAAACGACATGATGAGCGGATTTCTCGGAAAGACTTGAAAATTCAAAGATAACTATTGACCTGAATGTAACTTTCAGACAGAAATATCATGTGGGCGTTAATTTCCTCAACGATCAAGTCCTGGATTTGGAACCATTGATCTTTAGAACCGCGATGTTGAATGTGCACTGAAGAACGCAAAATGGTCCCGATAAATTTACACGCACATATATGCATACGCAATTGAACCCGTCACCCGATTTAAAAGATAAATTCACCTTTGTATGTTCCCTTTCCCTTTCCCGGTTTCCCTTCGTGACAAATATTAGCAATCAAGTCATAATAAGTGCCAAGCTTTTCTTCGTCCGGGTTTTCTAGATCTGAATTCGGACTGCATAAGATCATAAGAAAAAAAAAAAAGGTTGTGAAATATAAGATGCTCACATTCTCGCATATCCAAATTTTTTATAGGGAAATTAACAATCGTTGGGTTCTTTTCGGCGGCCCAATTGTTTTTGGTAAAACGTTTGATGTGAAAGATGAGATAGTTGGGAAGGCGAATCAGCTGTGACCTTCTTAACATCCCAGACGATTCCTGCATATTGTTTGCGATCAACTTAATTCAACGAGTAGACACTGCGAAAGAGGATGGACGCCGAAGTCATACCTGGAAAGTGCGACCATCATATTTCGAGAGTATTGTTGTTAACGCGATCTGAAAGGGACAAATGGTTTTACATTGTTTCCAGACTACACCAGTCCTAAACCAAATTCACACAAAATAAATGTGTATTACTTGTGGAATGATATTCTTTTCGACTTCATCTTGGAACAATGGCGGTGGTGGCAAATCCAAGCTCAATAAAATAAATGGTGACTTTGTTGTCATGATTTCTGTCACCGCGTTAGATGGGGTTACAAAGAGACGATGTTTCTTAAAGAAAGAAAGAAAGACATAGGGACTCTGACAATCGCTTTAACTACCTCGATCAACATCGAAAAACAGACGATCTTTTTCATCAGCGTCCGATTTTACAATCACCGATTGAGATTCGACCTTAACTTCTCCCTGAAATATCATGTGAATTATACCTAGATTTTTTTTTTTTTTTTTAAAAAAAAAAAAAAACCAATGACCAAACATTCACATGTAAAATAAATATCGCGAATGCGCTTGTTCACAGAATACACACTGCTATTTGATTTTTTTGTTCCGCCAAGGTCTCTGTGCAGAGAGTTCAAAAACCAACACATGAAATCAATTGGGTCACTTTGTTCGGAAAGTTTAAAACGTTTGTTGCTGGCATTAGAAATTTCCTGGAGTAACTCGTGAGGACTAACTTGACCTTTGAAAGCTCTCGGATTCCAAATTTTTCGAACAAGAGTACTAAATCGTTGAACTGTGAATTTGAAGGAGATTGAATGAGATGCGCCCACCAGAAGGTCCAGAGGATGAAAATCTGACGCTTACCTAATTGTGACTTTTTGTCAAGATTTTGCAGGATGAAGTAGTCTCGAAGTGGAGGAATGTGTGCCAATGTTTGTATTATCACGTTGACATAATCGTTAGCCTTAACGTTATTGAGACCGACAAATCCTTTAACATGGGAAAAATTAATTAAGATAGAAGAAATTCTTAGCAAGTGAAAAGAAACCAAATAAATACCATACCTGGTAAATACTTTTTGTTATTTAAATCATACGAATGCTTGATATTCTGATCCAACTGAGAGACTTGCTCTTTAGTGAATGTTGGATGAAGCACATACTAGTTTCGTAAAGTAATTGGAGTTGATGTGAGGTGAGCATGTTCACACGAGTCATAAGACACCGTGGGGAATCTGATCGTACCCTGATATCGTCTAAGGAAGAATCCTTGACCTCATATCCGTCAGGTAAAACGTATACCTGGAAATGTAGGAAGTTGGGTCACCAAACTACGCATACAAGTGATGTGAAAGATGAGAAAAACAGATGGAGAGAAATGAATCAATTCAAACGCACGGTTAACTCATGTAGATGAATGAAGACGTGATGATCTTCATGCAAACTGTGAAAGTAGGCGTGTGAATTGCGTCCGCGTCCTGCGAAAATAACATTCGAGTCAACAGCACATTAAGAAACCGTGGTATGATATGATCGAGTTTCTCACCTTGAAAGTATTTACCGCACACCAGACAAGCGTATACATTTAGATTTGATAAAGAAACTGAACAAACTTTCTCAAAATCAAAGTCTAACATATGACGGTTTATCTATTAAGAGGTGAACACTATCACTGTGAAAGTCTTTTCTTGCGAGATGACCGTTAACAAAGTCAACTTTCAGCTTAGTGTGGTCTACTCACTGTATCTAAGTACAGGGAGCTCGAACTAGTTTTGGCACTCGGCTGCTCATCCAGGCGAGGTCTCTTTATTTCCTCTTGTTCAATTTCTTCTTTGCTTCGTTTCTCGGAACCCATGTCGAAAACGCGAATTCAATTGATTTCCCGTGAACGGATGCACATCTTACCTATTACGTAATGAATCTATTAATTAATATCACATGTAATCTAAAATTTTTTTGCACGCGGATGTATATATATATGTGAAGTCCATCTTTAAAATAGGGAACACCGCGCTACTCTTTTAACCATGGACATAGTATTAGATTTTGCCGACGAATATTTCTTTAACGACCTTTACGTGCGTTTTTTTCCTGTTTCCTTGACGAACAATAGCACATTCGAAATTCCTAACAAGAACCTTTCAACACTCCCGCGAGATAATGTCTATAGACAATTTCTTACATTATTTATTCTTACCACCGTTTTCGCCTACTTCTTCTACTTCTTTTTCTCAACCATCTCTTACATATTCGTATTTGACAAAGAACTAATGAAGCACCCTAAATTCATTAAGAATCAAATTCGCAAAGAGATAAGGCTTTCTGTTTTAGGATTCCCATTGACAAGTTTAGTCACTGTACCCTGGTTTCTCGGGGAAGTAAGAGGGCATTCGAAGTTGTATGATGATATAAGCGACTACGGTTGGCAGTATGGCTTATTCTCAATTGTGTTATTTCTATTCTTCACCGACATGTGCATTTATTGGATTCATAGGTGGTTGCACCACCCGTTAATCTACAAAACTTTGCACAAGGTAACTTATGCACAACATAATAATGGGAACCATAAAAAAATTTCGATCCTTATTTTTTTAACGCTTTTCTTCAACGAAACCTAGGCTCATCATCGCTGGATCAGTAAGTGGTTGAGATGACACGTGACTTATTTTTTTTCTCTTGACGTAGACAGATGGTTAAAATCAACCAATTTTTGTCACTAGTTCCGACACCGTATTCGTCACATGCATTTCATCCACTAGATGGCTATTTTCAATCGTGCCCTTATCATTTATTTGTTTATATTTTTCCCTTGCAAAAGTGGATTTACATAGGTCTGTTTGTGTTCGTTAACATTTGGACAATCATGATTCATGACGGTAAGAATGAATACTCCACCACTTTTAATTACATCTTCCTTTGTCCCTCCCATTTACCACTATTAATCATTCTAATGATAACTAAGGTCAATTCATCTCATCCGGATCGTTTATTAATGGCGCAGCACATCACGCTGTTCATCATCTATACTTTAATTACAATTATGGTCAGTATTTTACTATTTGGGACAAGCTCGGGTGCAGCCATCGTCTTCCCGGTGAGGAGCAATTGAATAGTAAATTGAGGAGGGACGAGAAGGTTTGGGAAAAACAATCCACTGAAGTAGACGAATTTGACGAAAACGGAAAAAAAAAAAAGGAATAAGCCTTACTGATGGCTCAGTTCTATTTATTATTTTATTTATTATTTGTAATAATTTTTTTTTGACCGAATAAATTTAAAAAATCTAATCATGTGATTTAGATCATGTGATAAGAAATTGATCTAGATTAAAATTTTTTAATCAATTATATATTGAACATCATCGTTATATTTGTTATTCACACAAATAAAGGTATTTGGTCTCTTTCTTAATGAAACTTTGACTTTCCCTGTTCGGATCAATGGGGCCAATGTTACCCGAGCGAACTTCGTGCGATATTATGTAAATCTTCTTTCGCAGGTTAAGAAATTGAACATGTCCGTGAACTCACAGTCACAAGATTTTTCCATTCAACCTCAAAAAACAACGCCTGCCTTAAATACTTCTGAATGGCCATTATTGCTGAAAGTAAGAAAGAACTAGGTTATAAGGCACGTTGTAACTGCTTCGTTATCAAGTTCTTCAACATTTTATATACGCCTCCATAGAATTACGATAAACTTCACGTCCGCACCGGGCATTATACGCCCGTCACCCATGGTTGCTCTCCACTTAAGCGGGAACTCGGAGAGTACATAAGGTTGGCGAATTATTGTTTGGATAGTAACTTGTTATGTTCCTAAACTGAATTTGATCTGCCCTCTTTCAGATACGGCATTATTAACCTTGATAAACCCGCGAATCCTTCTTCACATGAAGTAGTTGCATGGGTCCGTCGTATACTCGAAGTTGAAAAAACCGGACATAGTGGCACATTGGATCCAAAAGTTACCGGTTGTTTGATAGTTTGTATCGATCGTGCCACGAGATTGGTTAAATCCCAACAAAGTGCAGGCAAGTGAGAGTACCTGTTTGTACTCGTTTCTCTTACTGGTTCCTAATATTTCATGCGATCCTTACATTCAGGAAAGGAATATGTATGTGTTATTCGATTTCATGATGCGCTTAGTTCACCGAGAAAATTTGCCTCGGCTTTGGAAACTCTTACGGGTGCTCTTTTCCAACGTCCGCCTTTAATATCAGCCGTCAAACGGCAATTACGCATAAGAACCATCCATGAGAGCAAGTTAATCGAGTATGATCAAGTTCGTCATCTAGGAGTTTTTTGGGTTAGTTGCGAGGCTGGGACCTATATTCGCACATTATGTGTTCATCTGGGTCTTATTCTCGGCGTTGGAGCTCATATGCAAGAACTTCGTCGCGTTCGTTCCGGTGCATTGTCCGAAAGTGTAAGTCATTCTTAAAACTTTATTTCTTTTAAGGTTTCTCTTTCGCAATTAGGAATTTGCTTATGTTTTTGTTTAGGATGACATGGTCACGATGCATGACGTATTGGACGCCAAATGGATGCATCAAACCACTAAAGATGGTAAGAATATTGGATTCCTATTTATTTCCCTACATATTTTTGGAAAGCTTACATTTAGTTATGCTTTACAGAAAGTTATCTCAGAAGAGTTATTCGTCCACTCGAAACCCTTCTCACGACTTACAAACGGATCGTAGTCAAAGATAGTGCTGTTAATGCTATATGTTATGGCGCAAAATTGATGGTACCAGGTCTACTTCGATACGAGGAAGGAATCGAGTTAAACGAGGAAGTTGTCCTTATGACTACAAAGGGAGAAGCCATTGCTCTCGGAATCGCACTGATGACAACAGCAGTAATGGGAACTGTCGATCATGGTAGAAGCACTATTCATCGAATTACCTTTCTAGATTTCTTTGCCACCAACTTTTAAATTTTCTTCCGGCTGATGCAATTACAGGAGTCGTCGCTAAAATTAAGCGCGTAATCATGGAACGGGACACTTATCCGAGAGTTTGGGGGTTAGGTCCTAAAGTATGTCCTTAATTGTAAACGAAAATACAATAAGTTTCTGTCGCAACCATAATTCGCGATCGATTGCATCAATCCCTATTCATCCAGTAAGAACTCGTGGACAGCGTTTATAAACTGATGGATCATTGATTTAATTAACCAGGCCACTGAAAAGAAGAGATTGATTTCTGAAGGTAAATTGGACAAATACGGGCGCTCCAACGATAACACTCCCGAACACTGGAAGAGATCTTATGTAGATCTACGGGATGTCGGCACAAGAAATGATCCCGTTCAATCGACGCCCGAAGAGTCAAAACCCTCCGGGCTTGTATCCACGGAATCAACTTCACAACCTCAAAATTTAATTCAAGAAATACAACCGGAATCTTCAAAAAAGGTAAATGATTCTTAAATTCCTGGAAAATAAAATTATGGTGACCGTAGCTCATTAATTTTTAATTTTATAGAGGAAAGCTGTGGATGAATCTGTTGAAGAAGAAAAGTCATCCAAGAAAGAGAAGAAAATCAAAAAACCAAAAGTCAAGGAACATATCCAATCGGAATCAAGCACGACGAGTATAAATACAGCGAAAGTAATTATTTTGGTTTTTATTTATGCTTGACGTTTGCGCGTGAAATTTCATCGTGTTTGTCTACCACTGGTTCAATGTAGAGAAAATCGGACTCTGATGATAACGGTGATGATCAAATGGAAGGTTCGACTGCGGAAAAATCTTCAAAGAAAAAGGTGAAAAAGGAAAAGAAAACATCTGAAAAGGAACGAGAAGAAAACGATGATAACAGTGAGTCAAAATCAGAAAAGAAAAAATCGAAGAAAGAAAAGAAGGAAAAGAAAGTAAAGTCAAAACCCGAATAATTTCTTATTGGTGAACCCAAATTTTGGATAATTCGTGGTTGTGGTAAAATATTTCGAGTGCCTTATCCGTTTCCTATTTGTATATGTGAAGGCTGTCTTATGAATAAATCACCTTTCTTTATTATACTTCCTATCAAAAATGTTGAGAGTGCAAAGTTCTATGCAAAAAAATGCAACCAATCACATACATGTATCTGTAGAATGAAATATTAATGAATATAGACATATTATATATCAATTAAATATATAGTATATAGATGTTAATTAATTATAATTTCTATAAATTATAATATGATATAGTGCATAAAAATGTTTTTGAAAATTTTGAAAATTTTGAAAATTCTTATTTTATTTATAATTAATGTTTTTTAATGTTTAAATTAATTATGTCATTAAAGTTTATTTTAATTTAATTTAAAATGTAAAGTTTAATTTAAATGTAGAGTTTAATTTAATTTAATTCAATTTAAAATATTGAGTTTAATTTAATTTAAAATGTAAAGTTTAATCAAATTTAATTTAATTTAAAATATTGAGTTTAATTTACTTATAAACAATATATAAATTTAATAAAATATTAAGTTTAATTTAAATAAATTAAATATATAAAGTTAAATTTAAATTAATTAAATCTAATTTTGAAATCTTTTATTTTTTAATTATAAAATAGATTTAGTTAGAAAATTTAATTATAATAAAAAATAATTTAGTTTCAAATTATTATAATAGTAATTAAAAAATATAATATTAATTTTTTTTAAAAAAAAGTAAATAAATATATTTACTTTATTTATCAAGCACTAAATGAACTCTTTTCGCTAATCCTTTTGCCAACACAAAAAAACAGACGTTCCAAGAAAATTTTATATTTCCTTATAATAAAGTCTATACACTTTCCTTAACAACACTCATACCAAGAGACAATAGTCTTCCCCACTTGTTTTTTTCTCTCTTTGACATAAACTTCCTGTACTTCTGCGAGTAAATACAAGAAATATCTACCTACAAAGTTAAAGGCAAG